TCATGCACCATCTTTTTTTTTTGATCAACAATTTATATAGTGGTGCTCGATGGCAGCCCGCTCGCTATCTACAAACACATACGCTACGCAGCCTGGTTACTAAGTTAACCACTAAAGGACGACCGCCCCCCCAACCAAGACTCTTTGGGCTCAAACACCGAAACTCCCCAGAGGGCAACCCACCTCGCAAAAACGGTGCATTGGGATAAGGGGAGGAAACCATCGAGGTTCCGCTACACCCCAAAGTTGTCGATCGCTGTTCGGAGGCCACGCAGCGCAGATGAGATAAGAAAAGCACCACCCGGGAGGTGGCAAGGTGTCTTGAGGCCAACAAGCCAAAGATGCGCCTGCCCGAAACCAGACGCAGAAAGTTAGCGGCGCTGCAACACACTACAATAGCGGTCACGAGCGCAAGGGAGTGAAACGGGCGCAGGTCTCCGAACCCTAAGGTCCGAGGGTGTCAATTCACCGATTGTCACGACCCGTCCCCGGCTCCCGGCACAATTATCCGGCTCCCGAGGCTGTATCCAGCTTCCGAGGCTTGTGGTAATGAGCCGTGCTCTTCTGGGACACTTCCGAAACATCTGGGAACGAGCCGTGCGCTTCTGAGGCACTTCCGAGGCGAGCCATGTTTCTGGCTCACTCCATTGTGTCTCCCAGCCATTGTCCCATTGTCCTTCATTGTTCTTCTTGTCCCGGCTAAGTTATCTATTACATAATCATGGTCCATTATTCTACATAGCATAAATACCCATGTACAGTAGTAGATTCCTCAGTCAGAATATCGAACTCGACATACCCCCTTTGCTCTAGTTCACTGCCAGAATCCGGCTCCTCCCTGTTCATCCGAAATCGGGGACACCCAGATGTTGCGTGGTGGCGCAGCTGCCCTTTCCGTCAAGCTGAAGCCAAGTCCCCACCCCATCCGGCACGGTCGTTACACTGATAAATCCTCCAAAAGGAGGAATAACCCCGCCCACAACGATTATCCGACACCTGAAGGGTCCCAGTTGAAGCCAAACGCCATAGGGTTGTACTTCATAAAAGATGCAATATCCCCAAGAAAGCGGGGGTAATGCACGGAGTAGCGATTGCGACAGCGAAAGAGGACGTGCTGGCGAGACTGCAAAGCAGCCCCGCAAGTGCAGCCATGAGGCTCATTGATCTTGAAGCGACGGTAATACACTCCAATGGGTGCGTGGCCAGTTATACACCGGCAAACGCGAGTGAACTCAGTGATACTGTGTCTGAAAGTTGAAAGCCAAGGTCCCCCATTGAGGTACGATGGCTGTAGCAGCCGCCCGTCAGGCTGTTGAAGCTCTAAGAATTCAGAGCCTCAGTAGGTTGGATCCTGGAAAGTGGAACTCCACGAGTCCAGGACTGAGTGCGCGGCTTGGGAGCGTAGCGTGTCTATAGAGTTGTCCGTCTTGCAACGTCCAACCCTGACTTTGAGTTCGGTGACGTACTTGTGTGCCTCACCATGGATGTCCCACCGCAAAGCGGATGGGATGTAGACAAAGGTAATGTGGTGGAGATCATCCGCCTCAAACCGCTCTTGGAGAGCGCGACAAACTGACAGGCTAAAAGCCTGACCAGAATGCATGGAAGGGTCGACCGCAATGGAAATGAGATCTGAGAGATTGTTGATCTACCTCCTGGGAAGAAGGCTATTGGATCAGGTTGGGTCTTTAAAATCAAGTTTAAAGCAGATGGTACTATTGAACGGTACAAGGCTAGAATTGTGGCAAAGGGTTACAGCCAACGCCCTGGCATTGACTACACTGAAGTCTTTGCTCCCACATTCCATCCTGCCACTCTGCGCTTGATTCTGGCTTTGGCTGCAATAGAGGACATGCACCTCCGCTCTGTTGATGTTACCTCTGCTTTTCCTAATGGCAATCTGGAAGAGGAGATCTATATGCTCCAACCAGAGGGGTTCCATCAAGGGAGGCCTAACAAGGTGTTGCATCTGTGCAAGTCTCTCTATGGCTTGAAGCAAGCTGCTCGTCAATGGAACAAGAAGTTACATGCTGCTCTTGTTGAAATGGGTTTCAAACACATTGAGGCTGACCGCTCTGTCTACATTTACTCCAATGGAGTGGTCAAAATCATTGTCCCCATTTACGTTGATGACATCACTTTTGCTTCCAAGTCCAATGTTGCCATTGACAAGGCTGTGAAGGACCTCTGTACATGTTTCAAATGCCGTGATTTGGGATCCACCAAGTTCTTGCTGGGTGTTGGGATTGGTCAGGACAAGGACAAGAAACTCATCACACTCCATCAGCGTCAGTTTATTCTTGATATGCTTGAACACTATGGTATGAGTGACTGTCATCCTGTCCAGACTCCTATGGCACCTGGTACTGTCTTATCCAAGACAATGGGTCCTGAAAACAGTGATGAGGTGGAATTCATGCGAAATGTTCCTTACCTCAGTGCAGTTGGTTCCCTTCAGTACTTGGCCACTATGACCCGTCCAGACATTGCTTATACTGTGTCCTATTTGGCACACTTCAGCTCCAATCCTGGCCTTAAACATTGGGCTGCAGTCAAGCATCTCTTGCGTTACTGCAAGGGAACTCTGGAGCACAAGTTGCATTTCAATGGTCAAGTAGACTCTTGTGAGTTTACTATCTACTCTGATGCTGCTCATGGTGATTGTGTTGATACTGGACGTTCCACTGCTGGTTATGTCACTACACTGGCTGGTGGGGCAATTGGTTGGGCAAGCAAGTTGCAGCCCTTTGTCACTATTTCTACAACTGAAGCAGAGTACATATCTGCTGTAGAAGCTGGCAAAGAAATTCACTGGATGCACAACATCCTTGGTGAATTTGGCTATCCTGTCAAACAAGCTTCACCTTTACATATTGACAACCAATCTGCCATTACTGTGTCCAAGAATCCAGAGCATCATGGACATATAAAACAACTTGACCTCCGTTTCTTCTGGGTGCGTGAAGCAGTCAATGAGGGGGTGATCACTCCTCACTACATTCCTACTGCTGAGCAGGTTGCCGATCTGCTCACCAAACCTTTGCCTATCCCCAAAGTCCAATATTGCAGAGACAGAATGGGTGTTTTGGTTTAATTTTTGAACTTTGAGACATGTTTGATCATGGGGGTGTGTTAAAACTTCCATCACATGTCTCAACTTCTATATGGGGTTGGGACCACATGACTGCACATGACTGTGTCCTCACATGATCAGGTGACATCATCTGACTCATCCCAAAGTGGTCTAGATCTATCCCCATTCTATCTCATCTTATCTAGATATATCTGTAGATTCATCTGATCTCTGCATCTGCATCTGATCACATGTTAAAACTGGGTGTAATCTGACCACTTTGGTTAACCCCAACTTAGGGATATCGGAAGGCTGGCACTGCAAGTCATTTGGAAGACCAGAATGGGTCATTGTAGACTTGGTGCAGTCATTGGTTGTGTGGTCATTACATTCCAGTTTAGTGTTCCCAAAGGCCAGGTAGCTCAGTGGTTAGAGCTGCTGGTATATATCCAGATGGTCCAGGGTTCAATTCCCTGTCTGGTCACTTTTCAACCTTTAACACAGATCCCAGATCCACTTGGTTACCTTCATCATTCTTATTGTTCCCAGTCTCCATTTGGGTTTCCCTTTGTTCTTTAGTATATATATGACTGCTGTCAGATGCCTAAAGTCCCCAGTTTCTCACTCTGGACTTCAGGCAAGTAGTTTATCCTGTATTACCCAATATGACTAGTTTCTCACTCCAGACTTCAGAGCCTCATATCGCCTCAGTCCCTTATCCCGAGTTGCTCATCTTTGGCACACCATTGCCTTGTGTGTTCCCCTACCTGTCCGCATAACATATATGGCTTGGACATAATTTCAGCACAGAGACTGAGGTAAGAGTTGAAGTTGGCTTTAGTAAAGGTGTGATCGAGTCAATAGGGGTACTTGAAACAAGGATAATAACAATTAGGACACTGATGAAGAGTCTCCTTCAATTGCAAAGTATGGAAGGGAATGCCATGATTGAGAAGAAAGCGAATGATGTCCTTGTCTTTGAAACCTTGATCAAGTTGACAGATAACGAGAATGGTGGAGGCAGAATATACAGCTATGTTCCATGGCACTGTATGTTAGAAGTGGTGGATAATGGGGAAGACGAGGAAACACCTAAAACACCTAAGGGGGGGAGACACAGACACCCAATGACCACAACAGAAGTACAAAGTACAATGGCAAGTTGTATTAATCAATAAACTACTGAATTTGTACATGTAGCACATGAGCCAACCAGGGTCACATGACCAAATCTAACACTGTATGCTTTGATCCAAAATTGAACATATAGAGTGGACATTGCTGAAGTTTGTTTTCATTGTTGACAAACTCGTAATAGGCCTTCACAACCAACTTAAGCCAAGGATGAGCAAGTAAAGAGCGGCAGTTCAATAGACTTTTTTTTTTTTTTTTTTTTTTTGATCAGCAATTTATATAGCGGCGCTCGATGGCAGCCTGCTCGCTATCTACAATCACATATGCTACGTGGCCTGGGTACTAAGTAAACTACTAAAAGGTGTCTGCCCCCCCAACCACGAGCCTTGTGGCTCAAACGCCTAAACTCCCACAAAGCCAGACCCACCTCACAAAAACGGTGACGCAGGATAAGGGGAGGAAACCATTGAGATTCCGCTACGCCCAAAGTCGTCGAACGCTGTTTGGAGGCCACGCAGCCCAAATGAGATAAGAAGAGCACCACCCGGGAGGTGGCAGGGTGTCTTGAGGCCGACAAGCCAGAGATGCGCCTGCCTGAAACCAGATGCAGAGAGTTAGTGGCGCCGCAATCTGCCATAATAGCGGACCGCAAGCGCAAAGAAATGAAGCTGGTGCAGGTCTTCGAACCCTAGGTTCGGTGGTGTCAATTCACCATAAATCCCCCAAAAGGAGGAATAACCCCACCCGCAACAATTATCCGACACCCGAGGGGTCCTGGCTGAAGCCAAATGCTGTAGGGTTGTACTTCATAAATGATGCAATATCCCCAAGAAAACAGGGATAATGTACAGAGTATCTATCGTGACAGCAAAGGAGGACGTGCTGACGGGACTGCAAAGCAGCCCCGCAAGTGCAGCCGTGAGGCTCGTTGATCTTGAAGCGGCGGTAATATGCTCCAATGGGCGCATGGCCAGTTATACACTGGCAAACGCGAGCGAACTCAGTGATACTGTGTCTGAAGGTTGATAGCCAAGGTCCCCTGTTGAGGTATGATGGCTGTAGCGGCTGCCCGTCAGGCTGTTGAAGCTCTAAGAATTCAGAGCCTTGGTAAGTTGGATCCTGGAAAGTGGAGCTCCATGAGTCCAGGACTGAGTGCGCCGCCCAAGAGCGAAGCACATCTATAGAGTTGTCCGTCTTGCGACGTCCAACCCTGACCTTAAGTTCGGTGACGTATTTGTGTGCCTCACCATGGATATCCCACTGCAAAGCGGATGGGATGTAGACAAAGGTGATGCGGTGGAAATCATCCGCCTCGAACCACTCTTGGAGAGCACAACAGACTGCCAGACTAAAAGCCTGACCAGAATGTACAGAGGGGTCAACTGCTCTGTGGGCTGAGCCCATAGAGTCAGTAAAGACCATAATATGCTGGCAGTTTGCCTGCTTGACAGCAAGGCGCACCGCACACGAGATGGCATTGAGCTCTGTGTCAGGGGCGGTAACTCTGCCAGAGACATAGCAAGTCCTTTTGAGCTCGCGATGCCCCTTGTAGATGATGGCAGCTGAAGTCGCCTGATACTGGTTGGACTGAGGGACAGAGCCATCAGTTGCAGCCAGTACTGTTAATGGGTCAGCCCTCGCTTTCGCAATGAGCTCGTCGAGATATGGTCGCCTATCCTGAGTAGGATCACGCTCGTCAAAGTGGATACGGTCCGCATAGTGGTCCAGTAACCGATCACCTGGGCAAGCTTTGGGTGCAAAGGGCTCAAAGCTCTCAGTTAAGGTGTGGACACGCTTGTCCACTTCCATGACGGTGCTCTTGACTTTCCCTCGCATGGCTGGGGTCATCAAGGCAGCTGAGCAGGTGTGTGGTTCAGCCTGCCTGAGGAGTCCCTCACCCAACATGGAGCAAAGAGGGTGAGTGTCAGAGAGGGAGGTGACACGGTACACTGCATGTGTTGCCAACTTCTTCAGCATAAGGTGGACGGGAATGAGACCTGCTAGGGCCTCAAGACTGCCTGTAGGTGAGGTGCGGAAGGCACCCGTAATCCATAGAGCAGCTTTCCGCTGCATCCGTTTTAACTGGTTCATCGCGCCCTTGTTACGGGTGCCATCAAAATACCAGAGACGATAACTGTATGTGGCAATGGGAACCACACACGATCTATAGAGGAGGCACCACTGTTTAGGTGAGAGACCTCTGGTAGAGTTTCTGAGCATGCGCATGGCCTGCACAGTGGTAAATGCCTTGGTGGCATAATAGCGAATGTGCTCATGGAATGTGAGCCCGCGGTCAAAGTAGAAGCCCAAGTACCTCCAATAGGTCTTGGGCTTCAAGGGCGTAGCACCGGCATGCAGGGCGTACCCCAGATCCAGCAAGGGATTGTAGGCGTCTCGTCAGCACGAAAAGTGAAACAACTTGGTCTTGTTGTGTTCAAGGACGAGTGGCAAAGCAACAAAGAGGAGGTAGATAATCTTGTAGGCCTTACACAGGCCCACATTATTATCATCGAGTTGTTTGGATTGGGCCAAAATGGTCCCATCGTCCACAAAAGAAAGTAGTGTTGTGTTGAGCAGCGCCGCTTTGATATAGAAGAGCTTCATCACTGGAGCAATGAACAGCCCAGAGATAACAGGTGAGAGAGCTGAGCCACATCTGCAGACCGCGAGTCGGATTGGAAGGTGTTCCAACAGTAAACTGTGGAATGACCAACAAGATAGGAGGCAAAGAACTCCACCAATATTGGTGAGAATCCTTGCTTGCGCAAGACAGCCATGAACATCTCATGGTTGATAGAAGGGAAGAACTGCGCAATGTCAAAAGCCAGCGTACTAGTCTGGAGACCCTTAACCCACCCTGCTCGCACAAGATGAGTCAGAATCAACCCAGCATCCTCAGTCGACCTTTGGTGAATGCCGCCAAGTTGGTTAGGATGGAAGATATCATGCTTGACAGCGTCAAACTGTATCCTATTGGCGATCATCTTTTCGGTAAGCTTACCAAAAGTGATGAGGAGTACTATAGGCCTGAAGGCCTTTTTTTTTTTTTTTTTTTATCAACAATTTATATAGCGGTGCTTGGTGGCAGGCCGCTCACTATCTACAAACACACACGCTACACAGCCTGGGTACTAGGTAAACTACTTAAAGACAACTGCCCCCCCAACCAAGACCCTTTGGGCTCAAACGCCTAAACTCCCCAGAGGGCAACCCACCTCGCGAAAACGGTGCATCGGGATAAGGGAAGGAAACCATCGAGGTTCTGCTACACCCCAAAGTCGTTGATCGCTGTTCGGAGGCCACGCAGTGTGAATGAAATCAGAACAGCACCATCCGGGAGGTGGCAGGGTGTCTTGAGGCCGACAAGCCAGAGATGCGCCTGCCTGAGACCAGACGCAGAGAGTTAGCGGCGCCGCAACCCGCTATAATAGCGGACCGCAGGCACGAAGAAATAGCGGTGGGCGCAGGTCTCCGAACCCTAAGGTTCGAGGGTGTCAATTCACCGATAAATCCTCCAAAAGGAGGAATAACCCCACCCACAGCAATCATCCAACACCCGAGGGGTCCCAGTTGAAGCCAAACGCCGTAGGGTTGTACTTTATAAACAATGCAATATCCCCGAGAAAACAGGGATAGTGTATGGAGTATCGATCGCAGCAGCGAAAGAGGATGTGCTGGCGAGACTGCAAGGCAGCCCTGCAAGTGCAGCCGTGAGGCTCATTGATCTTGAAGCAGTGGTAATACGCTCCAATGGGCGCATGGCCAGTTATACACTGGCAAACGCGAGTGAACTCAGTGATACTGTGTCCAAAGGTTGATAGCCAAGGTCCCCTGTTGAGGTACGATGGCTGTAGCGGCTGCCCGTCAGGCTGTTGAAGCTCTAAAAATTCAGAGCCTCAGTAAGTTGGATCCTGGAAAGTGGAACTCCACAAATCCAGGACTGAGTGCGCGGCCCGAGAGCGCAGCGTGTCTATAGAGTTGTCCATCTTGCGACGGCCAACCCTAAGCCTGAAGGCCTTTGGGACTGCGTAGGAGGGCTTGTTTGGTTTTGGGACGATAATCGACAGCGACTCCTTGAATATACATGGCCAATGACCCACCCGAAGGCAAGCGTTGGCCAACACGATGAAGAGCGCAAGGATGTGTTTGTCCTTGAGCAACTCCTTTAGGTGGACCCACGTAACATGGTCCGGTCCTGGTGCAGAGGAGTTGGAGCACCCCTTAAGGGCACTCAACAACTCATGCTCCGAAAAGTCAGCCCACTCACGGACTGGCTCATCAGGAAGCTCATCTAAGACTGAGGCATTGTACTCACGACCCCAGGCTGAGTTGTACGTGCCATGCAGGGCGTCCCAGAGGTCGTCCATATCATGGCAAGGCTGGTTGCCATTGCGAATAGCCTCACAGGGTGGTAGCTTGCACTGTTTGACCCATTCCATCAGGTCCCACAGGCGCTTGCGAGAAGTGGCAATTTCTGCGATGTGCTCATCAAAGAAGTCATGCTTGGCATCCTTACACGCCCTCTGGAATTTGTTGTAATCAGCCAGCAAACAGCTGAGCTGATATGCTCCAAATGTTTCTGAGCACTCATCTGTCCACCAGGACTTGGAGTGCTTGGTAGGTTTGGACTCAGTCGAATGGACAAGCCACGCGTCCGAGAACACTGTCACGATAGCATCAGCTAAAGCTTCAACGCCTTCCTTGGTTGCCGGGGCTGTGACAGGAATAGCCGCAAGATCCCAGAGGATATCTGAAATGAAAGACTTTTCAGCCTCGCTTCCGGGTTTAATTGTCCGTCGCCCAGATCTGGGCGGTTCGGGACTGACATCAAGATCTGTACAGATCGGGACATGATCTGATGGACCCTGGAGATCGTGCTCCAATCTGGGCATCGAGATTAGAATCTCAGATGGAGCTAAGAATACAAGATCCAATACATTGGATCTCTGGTTTGGATTAGGACTGATCCTTGTCGGTCCATGGTTAGAAGGTCGTGCCCACTCGAGGCCGATCTGAGATGCGGTGTCCTGCAAGGATATTGCCGTCGATGACTCGCCATGCTCATAGTCATCCCAAGTTGTCGAAATGCAGTTAAAGTCGCCTGCCATATAAATGAAAGGCGGAAGAGAATGCACACGAGCAGCAAGGTGCTCAATGGCTGTGTGTTGATCATCAGAATAGATGTTCATTAGATTAAGAACCTTACCCCTGCTAAAGAGGGAGAGGACGAGTATGTCGCGATGGTCGACGATGTCAGGGTGCATAGCGGGACGATAGCGGGAGAGCCTAGTCGAAACATAGGCAATCACGCGGGGAACTTCCCCTTCCTTAATGTGCACCATTTGCAGCGAGTTGGGATGCTTTGGTGCGCCGATAACCTCATCACCCTCCATGCTATTGGTGGACGGTGTGTGCCTTATGAAATTCCAAGGTGTTTCTTGGAAAAATAAAATATCAAATTTTGTTTTACAAATTTCAAGAAGTGTATCGATGTGGGCATAGGTATGGCGAACGTTCTGACAATAAATACGTAACCCACTACTTAGATCCTGAAGGTTTCCCAACATTAGTCTAGGTTCGGGGGTTAGTAAATGACGATACTCATTCATGATCCATTCACGATTGAAGCGGTGGGCCCAGTACTTACACAATGCCAAGTTGGCAGCATGGTCCTTGTGGCAATTGACACAGCGGCCTTTGTGGGGGCAGGGCTGGTCACGAGGGGTGGGTGGCACAGGGGGCTTTGCTTTCGCGTTCCCCTTGCAACATCCTGCATGTTGACGGTGCTCCTTCTGCTCATGCAGACCTGAACAGATTGGGCAGGAGAGTTGTTTCGCCTTGCAGGTGACGGTGGGGTGGCCCCACTTCCAGCAGCGCTGGCAGAGTGGGACCCCGGTGTGTCGTGCAGTGGGCCTGATTGCGCAGGAGCGCCCAGCAAGGAAGATCGGTTGGCCTAAGGCCTTCTTGGCACGGGTTCCCTGCTGGGAGTCCCAGAGATTGCAGTAGATGGTGCACGATGTCGAGTGCGCTGAGTTGTGATCTATCCGAGGCTTGGTGCTCAGATATGCAAAGACCTCAGCATGAACTGAGGTACGGAGGGCCTTTTCAAGCGCCTCCTGGGTGATCTTCAGCCCTTTGGGGTCAAAGTAGGGAACGTCAAGGATCTTAATGAAAGATGTCGATGAGGGGAGCGCGACCTTGAACGGGGTACCCATTGGGAGGCTCTCACAAATAAAGCTGTGCAGAATGTCCAGGTTGGACGGGCTGGCAACAGCAGGGTGACCAATGACAAGCCGTCATAGGCGCAGATGATGGAGGTGACCTTCAACATAGATCGTCCATACCTGAGGTACCCGTTGGCTGCATGGACAGCCGACTTGGTGAAGAATTTCATGAGGTCAGGAGGGGTACCCCCGAATGACACGAGAACTTGCTTCTGGGTGGGGCCCTCGGAAGTGAAAGAAGGAACGGACCGATGAGGCGAAGTCTTCATCAGGCCCATTGGGAATGCAGGGGGAGGAGAAGGCCTGTGACATTGCGGTCCCAAGCCAGGAGGCAGGGGAGGCATTGGAGCGGCCTGACGAGCAATCCCTGCCCACGTCATCGGACGAGGCTTGGGTTTGGTAGCGTGATTGATTGGCGGAGGCGGACCAGGGCAAGAGTAGGCCACCTTGCTCTTCTTCTGAGGAGAAGGTGGAACCAGACGATCAACACCCTTGCGCTTCTTGGAAGCGGGGATGCGAGGAGGGGAGGCCAGGCAACCAATGTCGTCCAATGCCTGCATGGGGACGTTGCCCTCAACACCATCATCAATGATGGGGGGCAGACGGAAGACAGGGGTCGGGTGGATAGTCGGATCTTCCCTGGAGGATGTCTCAGCCTCGAGCATGGAGGCAAGGGAGATTTCTGCAAGATCGCCTTGTCCGCAAATCCTGCCAAAGTCCGTGCTCATGATGGCGCTCACGAAGGCCATCATCTGAGCTGCAAAGACATCACCCCCATCGATGGAGAGTGGATTGTGGTGCGCAGCCTGCAGAACCCAGTCTGTGGCCTTCGCAATGGAGGTGGTCAATACCTCGAGATCGCCAGGAAGATCCTTGACTGTGTCTCGGAACTTCAAGGCGTATTGACCTAAGAGAAGGTCAATGGAGGGGTCCCGCAAGACCTCCTCCCCTCCCTGATCACCCTCCACCTCCATCTCCTGGTGTGGTTGGGCCGTCCCTGAGTCAGACTCGTATTCGGACAAATGGGTGGAACCCGTGGTGGAATGGGACCTGCAGCAAGGTGACATGTTGCGAGATTGAGACGGAACGATTGTTGAGTATGTGGCCCTAGTCGAAGTAGGGTCGGGCGAGATTGGCAAGGCATCACCGCCCAGGGATGATGAGCCAGCGACTGATGGTGGTATGGCTGGTGGTGTGGAGCCCGAGCCCCCCCCACAACGGCTCCTAGGAACCGCCCCAGGGGGCCTCATGCCCTGACCTCTTGGTGGGAGGTCAGACAAGGTGTGCTATTGCGGTGCGAATGTTCAAAAGGAGTCTTCTGGCCTGTCGATAAAGCGCTAGACGAAGTGCGAGACGGTGAGCTGGTTGTTTGCACTTGTTGACAAGTGGGCGTTCGAGAGAAAGAGGCGATGGGGACCTTGGCTTTCAACCTTTGGACACAGTAACACTGAGTTTGCTTGTGTTTGCCAGTGCATAACTGGCCACACGCCCATTGGAGCGTACTACCGTCACTTCAAGATCAATGAGCCTCATGGCTGCACTTGCGGGGCTGCCTTGCAGTCTCGCCAGCACATCCTCTTTCGCTGCCGTGATAGATATTCTGTACACTATCCCCAGTTCCTCGGAGAAATTGCATTGTTTTTAAAGCACAACCCTACGGTGTTTGGCTTTAACCGGGACCCTTTGGGGGTCGGATAATCTCTGCAGGCAGGGTTGTTCCTCCTTTCGGGGGATTTATGGTGAATTGACACCACCAAACTCTAGGGTTCGAAGACCTGTGCCTGCTTCACTTCTCTGTGCCTGCGACCTGTCATTATAATGGGCTGCAGTGCTGCTAACTTTCTGTGTCTGGTTTCAGGCAGGCGCTTCTCTGGCTTGTTGGCCTCAAGACATCCTGCCACCTCCCGGGTGGTGCTGGTCTTATTTCATTTGCACTGCGTGGCCTCCGAACAGCGTCCGACGACTCTGGGGTTTAGCGGGGCCTCAATGGTCTCCTCCCCTTATCCCACATCACCGTTTTTGTGAGGTGGGTCTGGCTTTGTGGGAGTTTAGGCGTTTGAGCCACAAGGCTCGTGGTTGGGGGGGCAGACACCTTTTAGTAGTTTACTTAGTACCCAGGCCACATAGCATATGTGATTGTAGATAGCGAGCAGGCTGCCATCGAGCACCGCTATATAAATTGTTGATCAAAAAAAAAAAAAAAAAAAAGTGTACGGAAGGGTCCACCACTCTGTGGGCTGAGCCCATAGAGTCAGTGAAGACCATAATATGCTGGCAGTTTGCCTGCTTGACAGCAAGGCATACTGCACACATGATGGCATTGAGGTCCGCATCCAGGGCGGTAACCGTGCCAGAGACATAGCGAGTCCTTTCAAGCTCACAATGTCCCTTATAGATTATAGCAGCCGAAGTCGCCTGGTACTGGTTAGACTGAGGGACAGAGCCGTCAGCTGCAGCTAGTACAGTTAGTGGATTGGCCCTTGCATTTGCGATGAGCTCGTCGAGATACGGGCGCCTATCCTGGGTAGGATCATGCTCGTCAAAGTGGAGACGGTCCGCATAGCGGTCCAGTAGCTGATCGCCTGGGCGAGCTTCAGGCGCAAAGGGCTCCAAGCTCTCAGTTAAGGTGTGGACACGCTCATCCACCTCCATGACAGTGCTCTTGACTTTCCTCCGCATAGCCGGGGTCATCAACACGGCAGAGCAGGCATGAGGTGCTGCCCATCTGAGGAGTCTCTCACCCATCATGGAGCAAAGAGGGTGAGTGTCTGAGAGGGTAGCAATGCAATACACGGTGCGTGTTGCCAGCTTCTTCAGCATAAGGTGGAAGGGAATGAGACCTGCCAGGGCCTCAAGACCACCTGTGGGTGAGGTGTGAAATGCACCCGTAATCCATAGAGCAGCTTTCCGCTGCATCCGTTTGAGCTGGTTCATGGTACCCTTATTACAGGCGCCATCGAAGTACCAGAGACAATAACCGTATGTGGCAATGGGAACCACACATGATCTATAAAGGAGGTGCCGCTGTTTAGGCAAGAGACCTCTAGTGGAGTTTCCAAGCATGTGCATAGCCTGCACAGTGGTAAATGCCTTGGTGGCATAGTAGTGAATGTGCTCATGAAACGTGAGCCTGCGGTCGAAGTAGAAACCCAGGTACCTCCAATAGGTCTTGGGCTTCAAAGGCATAGCACTGGTATGTGGGGCATACCCCAAATCCAGCGAGGGATTGTAGGCGTCTTGACGACATGAGAAGTGGAACAGCTCAGTCTTGTCGTGCTCAAGAACAAGTGTGAAGGCAACAAAGAGGAGGTAGATAATTTTGTAGGCCTTACGCAGGCCCACATTATTATCATCAAGCTGTTTGGATTGGGCCAAAATGGCCCCATCATCCACAAAGGAGAGGAGCGTCGTGTTGAGCGGCGCTGCTTTGATGTAGAAGAGCTTCATCACTGGAGCAATGAAGAGCCCTGAGATAACAGGCGAGAGAGCTGAGCCCTGCCTGACACCCACCCCCGCAGAGCATGGGTCAGATTGGAAGGTGTTCCAACAGTAAACTGTGGAGCACCCAACCAGGTAAGAGGCAAAGAAATCCACCAAAACTGGCGAAAATCCCTGCTTACGAAGAACCAGCCATGAACATTTCATGGTTGATAGAGGGGAAGAACTGCATGATGTCAAAAGCCAGCGTGCTAGTCTGGAGACCCTTAACCCACTCCGCTTGCATGAGATGAGTCAGAATCAATCCAGCATCCTCAGTTGACCTCTGGCGGATACCACTGAGCTGGTTTGGATGGAAGATATCATGTTTGACTGTGTCAAAACTGTATCCTGTTGGCAATCATCTTTTCGATAAGTTTACCAAAAGTGATGAGGAGTGCTATAGGCCTGAAGGCCTTTGGGACTGCATAGGAGGGCTTATTCAGTTTCGGTATGATAACTGAGAGCAACTCCTTAAATATACGCGGCCAATGCCCTACCTGAAGGCAAGCATTGGCCAACACGATGAAGAGCGCAAGGACATGTTTATCCTTGAGCAACTCCTTTAGGTGGACCCACGTAACATGGTCCGGTCCTGGCGCAGAGGAGTTGGAGCACCCCTTAAGGGCACTCAACAACTCATGCTCCGAAAAGTCAGCCCACTCACGGACTGGCTCATCAGGAAGCTCATCTAAGACTGAGGCATCGTACTCGCGACCCCAGGCTGAGTTGTATGTGCCGTGCAGGGTGTCCCAGAGGTCGTCCATATCATGGCAAGGCTGGTTGCCATTGCGAATAGCCTCACAGGGGGGTAGCTTGCGCTGCTTGACCCATTCCATTAGGTCCCACGGGCGCTTGTGAGAAGTAGCGATTTCTGCGATGTGCTCATCAAAGAAGTCACGCTTGGCGTCTTTACACACCTTCTTGAACTTGTTGTAATCAGCGAGTGTGCAGCTCAACTGATATACTCCGAATGCTTCCAAACACTCGTCTGTCCACCAGGATTTGGACCACTTGGTAGGTTTGGATGCGGTCGAATGGACAAGCCACATGTCCAAAAACCCTGTCACGATAGCATCGGCTAAAGCTTCAACGCTGTCCTTGGTTGCCGGGGCCGCGACAGGAATAGCCGCAAGATCCCGGAGGATGTCCGAAATGAAAGACTTCTCAGCCTCACTTCCAGGTTTAATTGTCCGTCGCCCAGATCCAGGTGGTTCGGGACCAATATCAAGATCCGTGCAGATCGGGACATGATCTGACAGACCCTGGAGATCGTGCTCCAATCTGGGCATCGAGATTAGGATCTCAGATGGAGCTAAGAATACAAGATCCAACACATTGGATCTCTGGTTTGGATTGGGACTGATCCTCATTGGTCTGTGATTGGAAGGTCGTTCCCACTCAAGGCCGATCTGAGATGCGGTATCCTGCAGGGATATTGCCGTTGACGACTCGCCATGATCATAATCCACTTCTATAAGCTAGGTACATATATCAAACCCTGTGTTTAGCCAGTGTGACCTCACATGTCCAGACTGTGTTTGAGCAGTCAGGTTTTCCGGGGATGCTGGGGTGAGTTTGCCGGGGATGCTGGGGCCATAGAGATTTGTTTGGGGATGGGAGAGGGTAAATAAATGACCAAACAACCCTCCCGGGGGTGGGGTGGGGGTAGGGTAGGCCTGTGGGGGCTGGAGGGGTGGGAAAGGCATGGGAAATCCATCCGAAACAGGCAGGGATGGTGGGGGATGCATGATAGGGGCTAGTGGGATGGCAGGGGCCTAAAAATGGGTTGGGCGGGGCTAAATATGCATGCTAATAATTGTCATGGCCCCCACGGGGTGCGGGATGGGCTGGGGGAGCCAAAAACGCGAAAAATCCAGAGTCTTTTGCATTTTTAATACAAAACAATTGAATAACAAATTGAAAACTTAATATTTTGCTGTGAAACTTTGGGGACCTTTGTATCTATAGTGGGGGGTGCTTCATAAATATTTTGAGTATTTATTATGAATTATGGGGTGCGCCACACAGCCAGGAATAGTGTGTGCAGCGGGGTTTGATGCGCTTTGCCAAATTTGGCAATATTGTGATGGGTGCACATCTGTGCATAATTCCGGCTCCCCCTCGCATTATTTTGCTTAGTGTTGGCTGAGCGAAATGTTGGGTACATTGATACCTTCCTGTAGACCCTTTGATCGCATGAAACGGGTGAGAACTCGTTGAGATATGACGAACGCGATTTTGGCTATTACAATGCATGGTGCACCCATGCATCCTCGGGCGCGTTTAGGCCCATTTAAGTTGGTCAAAAATCATGGAATACATGTCTGAGAGTAATAGTACCATTGATATTGCCAGGGGGTGTCTGGATGTAGTATATCTGAGGGGGGGTATAGGTACACCAGGAGACCCACTCCGGATACCCCACTAAACGTGCCTCTGAAGGTATGAAAGCTGGTACGTAAATAGTGTATATTTTATTCATGAATTTAACATATTTTATCATAATTTTATATTGCCTGGAAGTTGGGTTATTGACCCATTTCCCACGAGCTGAAATATTCTATTGACCTCCAGGATGGGGGGTATTGGCACATCTAAAATTATGATAAATGACAATAAATGTATAGAAACAGATTGAGGTACTTGCGAGGGCAAGGGAAGGATGCTGTGTAAAGTTATTAAGGGGAGAAGGATGAGGTAGTCCCCCACATGAGGATCTATCTATATACTTGCCAAATCTGCATATCGCACCCATTAAACGGTGCGTTATGGTTAGGATAATGTCTGTGAGGATATTTTGGTAGTGACGGATGAGGCTCCGATGCCCAGGGGACATGGTATTAGAGAGTGAGCTGAAAATGCGCAAAAAATATGAAAATAATTAAAATGACTACCTCGGACTTGTTCAAAAATTACCAAACTTCATATATGAGGACCTATTAACATTCTGAAGGGACTGCAAAAGACCGGATGAGATTCCGAGCAGTGGGTGCAAAGATATGGCAAAGGATATCAGAAGGACAGTTAGAGCATCAACTTCCTGTCACAACTTTATGTTGCATCTGGTGCTTTCAGAGTTCATTTCGCATATCTTTGCACCCACTGCTCGGAATCTCATCCGGTCTTTTGCAGTCCCTTCAGAATGTTAATAGGTCCTCATATATGAAGTTTGGTAATTTTTGAACAAGTCCGAGGTAGTCATTTTAATTATTTTCATATTTTTTGCGCATTTTCAGCTCACTCTCTAATACCATGTCCCCTGGGCATCGGAGCCTCATCCGTCACTACCAAAATATCCTCACAGACATTATCCTAACCATAACGCACCGTTTAATGGGTGCGATATGCAGATTTGGCAAGTATATAGATAGATCCTCATGTGGGGGACTACCTCATCCTTCTCCCCTTAATAACTTTACACAGCATCCTTCCCTTGCCCTCGCAAGTACCTTGATCTGTTTCTATACATTTATTGTCATTTATCATAATTTTAGATGTGCCAATACCCCCCATCCTGGAGGTCAATAGAATATTTCAGCTCGTGGGAAATGGGTCAATAACCCAACTTCCAGGCAATATAAAATTATGATAAAATATGTTAAATTCATGAATAAAATATACACTATTTACGTACCAGCTTTCATACCTTCAGAGGCACGTTTAGTGGGGTATCCGGAGTGGGTCTCCTGGTGTACCTATACCCCCCCTCAGATATACTACATCCAGACACCCCCTGGCAATATCAATGGTACTATTACTCTCAGACATGTATTCCATGATTTTTGACCAACTTAAATGGGCCTAAACGCGCCCGAGGATGCATGGGTGCACCATGCATTGTAATAGCCAAAATCGCGTTTGTCATATCTCAACGAGTTCTTACCCGTTTCATGCGATCAAAGGGTCTACAGGAAGGTATCAATGTACCCAACATTTCGCTCAGCCAACACTAAGCAAAATAATGCGAGGGGGAGCCGGAATTATGCACAGATGTGCACCCATCACAATATTGCCAAATTTGGCAAAGCGCATCAAACCCCGCTGCACACACTATTCCTGGCTGTGTGGCGCACCCCATAATTCATAATAAATACTCAAAATATTTATGAAGCACCCCCCACTATAGATACAAAGGTCCCCAAAGTTTCACAGCAAAATATTAAGTTTTCAATTTGTTATTCAATTGTTTTGTATTAAAAATGCAAAAGACTCTGGATTTTTCGCGTTTTTGGCTCCCCCAGCCCATCCCGCACCCCGTGGGGGCCATGACAATTATTAGCATGCATATTTAGCCCCGCCCAACCCATTTTTAGGCCCCCGCCGCACCCAGACACCCACTAGCCCCTATCATGCATCCCCCACCATCCCTGCCTGTTTCGGATGGATTTCCCATGCCTTTCCCACCCCTCCTGCCCCCACAGGCCTACCCTACCCCCACCCCACCCCCGGGAGGGTTGTTTGGTCATTTATTTACCCTCTCCCATCCCCAAACAAATCTCTATGGCCCCAGCATCCCCGGCAAACTCACCCCAGCATCCCCGGAAAACCTGACTGCTCAAACACAGTCTGGACATGTGAGGTCACACTGGCTAAACACAGGGTTTGATATAGATTTTTAGCTGACATGGCTGCATAATCATCCCAAGTCGTTGAAACGCAGTTAAAGTTGCCTGCCATATAGATGAAAGGTGGCAGAGAATGCACTTGAGCAGCAAGGTGCTCAATGGCTGTGTGCTGATTGTCAGAATAGACATTCATCAGATTAAGAACCTCACCCCTGCTAAAGAGGGAAAGGATGAGAATGTCGCGATGCATAGCGGGACGATAGCAGGAGAGCCTAGTCGAAACATAGGCAATCAACCAAGGGACTTCGCCCTCCTTAACGCGAACCATCTGCAGCCAGTCCGGAAGCTTTGGTGCGCCAATAACCTCATCGCCCTCCATACTGGTGGTGGATGGTGCATGCCTTATAAAATTCCAAGGGGTTTCTTGGAAAAATAAAAGATTGAATTTTGTTTTACAAATTTCTAGGAGAGTATCTACATGTGCATAGGTGTGACAAATGTTCTGACAAAAAATATGTAGCCTGCTATTTAGATCCTGCTGGTTTCCCAACATTAGTCTAGGTTCGGGTGTTAGTAAGTTGGCGGCGAGCAGCGTGCTCACGTACCTGACAATACTCGGCCATGATCCACTCATGGTCATAGCAATGGGCCCAGAACTTGCACAAAGCCGAGTTGGCGGTGTGGTCCTTGTGGCAGTTGACGCATCGGCCCTTATGGGGGCAGGGCTGGTTGCGAGGGGTGGGTGGCACAGCGGGCTTCACTGTCGTGTTCCCCTTGCAACATCCTGCATGTTGACGGTGCTCCTTCTGCTCATGTGGACCCGAGCAGATAGGGCAAGATAGTTGTTTCACCTTGCAGGCGACGGTGGGATGGCCCCACTTCCAGCAGCGCTGGCAGAGTGGGACCCCGGTGTGTCGCATGGCAGGCCTGATTGCACAGGACCACCCAGCGAGGAATATTGGTTGGCCAAGGGCCTTCTTGGCGTGGGTCCCCTGTTGGGAGTCCCAGAGATTGCAGTAGACGGTGCACGATGTCGAGTGCGCTGAGTTGTGATCTATCCGAGGCTTGGTGCTCAGATATGCAAAGACCTCAGCATGAACTGAGGTACGGAGGGCCTTTTCAAGCACCTCCTGGGTGATCTTCAGCCCTTTGGGGTCAAAGTAGGGAACGTCGAGGATCTTTATAAAAGACGTTGACAAAGGGAGCGCAACCTCGAACAGGGTGCCCGTTGGGAGGCTTTCGCGGATAAAGTTGCACAGAATGTCCAGGTCAGACGGGCTGGCAAGAGCGGGGGTGACCAACGACAGGCTGTCGTAGGTGCGGATGATGGAGGTGACCTTCAACATGGAATGGCCATCCCTGAGGTACCCATTGGCCGCACAGGCAGTTTGATAGACCTCCATTCCAGATGTCATCATTGGGTTGTTCATTTCTGAGAAGTTGTTGAATGAAGTTATCCACCTCAAGAACCTGCTGGTTCACAAAGTTGATGTGTTGAGTATTGTTGTAGCACATGCCAATCATCCAAAGAAACACCTTTTTCTTATTCTCTGACCACAGACCAGATGGAGAAGAATTTGCTGGTAGAAGTGGTGGAACAAATCCATAGTACAGCCAAGCTATGTCAATGTCACATCCCATGCCTGAACCCATTGTTCTATTGTTCCATTGTTCATTGTTCTGGTTCTTCAATGGGCTTTACTTTCATTGTTTCATTCATTATTGTCTTCATTGTTCTCTGTCATTGTTCTGCTGGCATTCATTACATAACCTAGATCTTCTCCATTGTTCTCAATAGTATAAGTAGCTAGGTAGTGTACTGGATTCCCCAGCTTGAATCTCAACCTTGACAACCCCTCTGCTCTGTTGTTCATCCTCTGTCTCCTGGGCCTTGGCCAGGATGACTTCTTCTTGTCTCTCCTTTGTCAAGACCAAGGCAGTTCCTGTAAATTGGGGACAACCAGATGATGTGTAGGGGCACAGCACAAGAGCATGCTGAGGCCAAGTCCCCCCCTCTGTTCAGGTCATTACAGTCAAGAATCTCTTCCTGCATCCTATCTGCTCCCAGATTTTGTGCTTTAGCCAGTGGAAAATAGGGATGGGCGTTCATAAAGATGGCACTCTGCAAAGTTGTCAGATTCTGGTTATGAGCTTCTTGAGGAAGGTATGATTCTTCAGATTCAATGTCAATATGCGAATAAAATTCATTCCATTCTTCTTGAGCAGCAGCAGAAGAGTAATTGTTTGGAGGATCTGGAAGAGAGAAGTGCTTGCTACAATGCCAAGCATTTTCAAAGGCATTGTAGATCTTTTCCTTGACGGAAAAGGTGTTGAAAGCAATTCTTCTCATCTCGACCGTCTCCACTTTGATGAGCGTGATCCCACTCAGGATAGGCGCCCATATCTCAATGAGCTCATTGCGAAAGCGAGGGCTGACCCATTAACAGTACTGGCTGCAACTGATGGCTCTGTCCCTCAGTCCAACCAGTATCAGGTGGCTTCAGCTGTCATCATCTACAAGGGACATCGCAAGCTCAAAAGGACTCGCTATGTCTCTGGCAGAGTAACCGCCCCTGATGCGGAACTCAATGCCATCTCGTGTGCAGTACGCCTTGCTGTCAAGCAGGCAAACTGCCAGCATATTATGGTCTTTACTGACTCTATGGGCTCGGCCCACAGAGTGGTAGACCCCTCCATGCACTCTGGCCAGGCCTTTAGTCTGTCAGTCTGTCATGCTCTCCAAGAGTGGTTCAAGGCAGATGATCTCCACCGCATCACCTTCGTCTATGTTCCATCTGCCCTACGGTGGGACATCCATGGTGAAGCACACAAGTACATCACCGAACTCAAAGTCAGGGTTGGACGTTGCAAGATGGACAACTCTATAGACGCGCTTTGCTCTCGAGCGGCGCACTCAGTCCTGGACTCGTGGAGTTCCACTTTCCAGGATCCAACCTACTGGGGCTCTGAATTTTTAGAGCTTCAACGGCCTGACAGGCGGCCGATACAGCCATCCTACCTCAATGGGGGACCTTGGCTCTCAACATCCAGACACAGTATCACTGAGTTTGCTCGTGTCTGCCAGTGCATAACTGGCCATGCGCCCATTGGAGCGTACTACCATTGCTTCAAGATTAATGAGCCTCATGGCTGCACTTGCAGGGCTGCTTTGCAGTCCCATCAGCACGTCCTCTTTCGCTGCCATGATAGATATTCTGTATACTACCCCCGTTTTCTCAGGGATATTGCATCGTTTTTGAAGCACAACCCTACAGCATTTGGCTTCAACCAGGACCCCTCGGGTGTTGGATAATCACTGCGGGTGGGGTTGTTTTTGAACCTTAGGGTTCGGAGACCTGCGCCTGCAACTATTTCTTTGCGATCGCGACCTGCTATTATAGCAGGCTGCAGCGCCACTGAATCTCTGCATCTGGTTTCGGGCAGGCACATCTCTGGCTTGTCGGCCTCAAGACACCCTGCCACCTCCCAGGTGGTGCGATTCTTATTTCATTTGCCCTGTGTAGCCTCTGAACAGCAATCGATGACTTTGGGGCATAGCGGAACCTCGATGGTTTCCTCCTCTTATCCCAATGCACCGTTTTTGCGAGGTGGGTTGCCCTCTGGGAAGTTTCAACGCATACACCAGATGGGTCTTGGTTGGGGGGGCGGTCGTCTTTTAGTAGTTAAATTAGTACCCAGGCTGCGTAGCGTATGTATTTGTAGATAGCGAGCGGGCTGCCACCAAGCACCACTATATAAATTGTTGATCAAAAAAAAAAAAAAAAAAAAAAAAAAAAACTTCTCATCTCTGGAATAACACAGGTCCGAATAAAACAATTCTCCTTGTACATAGCCCAAATGTAAATTGTTGCCAATTCAATGGGAGGATTATTAGCTCTGGCTAGATGGACTTGACAATCTAAAGGTTGTTCTCGCTTCTGGCATTCCTTCTCGTATATGGCCTGTCTGCCACAGTATGCATTCCATAATACGTTGAAAGGTTGTGAGGACTTGAAAATTTGGAAGGCATTGGAGCTCTAGCCGATGCTATTGTGACTGCGTTCTCGGATGCGTGGCTTGCCCACTCGACTGAGTCCAAACCTATCAAGCGCTCCAAGTCCTGGTGGACAGATGAGTGCTCAGAGACCTTCAGAGTATATCAGCTGAGCTGCTTGCTCACTGATTACAACAAGTTTAAGAAGGCATGTAAGGACACCAAGCATGATTTCTTCAATGAGCACATCGCAGAGATCACTACTTCTTGCAAGCGCCCGTGGGACCTGATGGAATGGGTCAAACAGCACAAGCTACCACCCTGTGAGGCTATTCACAACGGCAACCAGCCTTGCCATGATATGGACAACCTCTGGGACGTCCTGCACGGCATGTACAACTCAGCCTTGGGTCGTGAGTACGATGCCTCAGTCTTAGATGAGCTTCCCAATGAGCCAGTCTGTGAGTGGGCTGACTTCTCAGAGCATGAGTTGTTGAGTGATCCCCATGCACCGCTTTCACGAGGTGGGTTGCCCTCTGGGGAGTTTTGGCGTTTGAGCCCAAAGGGTCTTGGTTGGGGGGGTGATCATCTTTGAGTAGTTAACCTAGTACCCGGGTTGCGTAGCATATATGTTCTGTAGATAGTGAGTGGGCTGCCATCAAGCACCACTATACAAATTGTTGATCAAAAAAAAAAAAAAAAAAAACAGAGTTGTTGAGTGCCCTTAAGGGGTGCTCCAACTCCTCTGCACCAGGACCGGACCATGTTACTTGGGTCCACCTAAAGGAGTTGCTCAAGAACAAGCACATCCTTGCGCTCTTCCTTGTGTTGGCCAACGCTTGCCTCCAGGTTGGGCATTGGCCACGTATATTTAAGGAGTCACTATCAGTCATCGTACTGAAACTGAATAAGCCCTCCTACGCCATCCCAAAGGCTTTTTTTTTTTTGATCCACAATTTGTATAGCGGTGCTCGATGGCAGCCTGCTCGCTATCTACAAAACATATATGCTATGCAACCCGGGTACTAGGTTAACTACTCAAAGATGATCACCCCCCCAACCAAGACCCTTCGGGCTCAAACACCTAAACTCCCCAAAGGGCAACCCACCTTGCGAAAATGGTGCATCAGAATAAGGGGAGGAGACCATTGAGGTCCCGCTACGCCCCATAGTCATCAATTGCTGTTCGGGGGCCATGCAGCGCAATGAAAATAAGAATCGCACCACCTGGGAGGTGGCAGGGTGTCTTGAGGCCGACAAGCCAAAGATGCGCCTGCCCAAAACCAGACGCAGAAAGTTAGCAGTGCTGCGATCAACTAAAAAAGGTGAACCGCCTGCACGAAAGAGTTGTCGCAGGTGCAGGTCTCTGAACCCTAAGGTTCAAGGGTGTCAATTCACCGATAAATCCCCCAAAAGGAGGAATAACCCCACCCGCAGCGATTATCCAACACCCAAAGGGTCCCGGTTGAAGCCAAACGCTGTGGGGTTGTGCTTCAAAAATGATGCAATATCCCCGAGAAAACGGAGATAGTGTACAGAATATCAATCGTGACAGCGAAAGAGGACGTGCTGACGGGACTGCAAAGCAGCCCCACAAGTGCAGCCATGAGGCTCATTAATCTTGAAGTGACAATAGTATGCTCCAATGGGTGCATGGCCAGTTATACACTGCAGACGCGAGCAAACTCAGTAATACTGTGTCCGAAGGTTGAAAGCCAAGGTCCCCCATTGAGGTAGGATGGCTGAATTGGCTGCCCGTCAGGCTGCTGAAGCTCTAAAAATTCAGAGCCTCAGTAAGTTGGATCCTGGAAAGTGGAATTCCACAAGTCCAGGACTGAGTGCACTGCTTGGGAGCAAAGCACATCAATGGAGTTGTCAGTTTTGCGGCGTCCAACCCTGACTTTGAGTTTGGTGACATACTTCTGTGCCTCACCATGGATATCCCACTACAATGCAGATGGAATGTAAATGAAGGTGATGCGGTGGAGATCATCTGCCTCAAACCACTCTTGGAGTGTGCGACATACTGACAGGCTAAAAGCCTGACCAGAGTGCACGGAGGGGTCCACTGCTCTGTGGGCTGAGCCCATAGAGTCAGTAAAGACCATGATATGTTGGCAGTCTGCCTGCTTGACAGCCAGGCGCACTGCACACGAGATGGCTTTGAGTTCCGCATCTGGGGCAGTAACCCTGCCAGAGACATAGCGAGTCCTTTCGAGTTCACAGTGCCCCTTGTAGATGATGGCAGCTGAAGCAGCCTGATACTGGTTGGACTGAGGGACAGAGCCATCAGTTGCAGCCAGTACTGTTAAAGGGTCGGCCCTTGCTGTTGCGATGAGCTCGTCGAGATATGGGCACCTATCCTGGGTAGGATCACGCTCGTCAAAGTGGAGACAGTCTGCATAGTGGTCCAGTAACTGATCACCAGGGTGAGCTTTGGGCACAAAGGGCTCGAAGCTCTCAGTTAAGGTGTGGACACACTCATCCACCTCCATAATGGTGCTCTTGACTTTCCCCTGCATAGCTGGGGTCACCAAGGCAGCAGAACGGGTGTGGGGTTCAGCCCGCTTGAGGAGCCTCTCGCCCATCATGGAGTGAAGAGGGTGAGTGTCTGAGAGGGTAGCGACCCGATACACTGTGCGCATCACCAGCTTCTTCAGCATGAGATGAACAGGGATGAGACCAGCAAGGGCCTCAAGACTGCCTGTAGGTGAGGTGCGGAAGGCACCCGTAATCCATAGAGCAGCTTTTTGCTGCATCCGTTTTAGCTGGTTCATGGCACCCTTATTACAGGCGCCATCGAAGTACCAGAGACGATAACTGTATGTGGCAATGGGAACCACACATGATCTATAAAGGAGGCGCCGCTGTTTAGGCAAGAGACCTCTAGTGGAGTTTCCAAGCATGCGCATAGCCTGCACAGTGGTGAATGCCTTGGTGGCATAGTAGCGAACGTGCTCATGAAATGTGAGCCTGCGGTCAAAGTAGAAGCCCAAATACCTCCAATAGGTCTTGGGTGTAAGAGGGGTATCGCCCATGTGTGGGGCGTACCCCAAATCAAGTGAAGGATTATATGCATCGCGAGGACACGAGAAGTGAAACAGCTCAGTCTTGTCGTGTTCAAGGATGAGTGCGAAAGCAACAAAGAGGAGGTAGATAATTTTGTAGGCCTTACACAGGCCCACATTGTTATCACGAAGCTGTTTGGACTGGGCCAACATGGTCCCATTGTCCACAAAGGAGAGTAGTGTCGTGTTAAATGGCGCCACTTTGATATAGAAGAGCTTCATTACTGGAGCAATGAAAAGCCCAGAGATGTCCCAAAGGCTTTCTGGCCTATAGCACTCCTCATCACCTTTGGTAAACTTATTGAGAAGATGATTGCCAACAGGATACAGTTTGACACAGTCAAACATGATATCTTCCATCCAAACCAGCTCAGTGGTATCTGCCAGAGGTCAACTGAGGATGCTGGATTGATTCTGACTCATCTCATGCAAGCGGAGTGGGTTAAGGGTCTCCAGACTAGCGCGCTGGCTTTTGACATCACGCAGTTCTTCCCCTCCATCACCCATGAAATGTTCATGGCTGTCCTTTGCAAGCAAGGGTTTTCACCAATTTTGGTGGATTTCTTTGCCTCTTACCTCATTGGTCGTTCCATAGTTTACTGCTGGAACACCTTCCAATCTGACTTGTGTTCTGCAGACGTGGGTGTGGGGCAGGGCTCAGCTCTCTCGCCTGTTATCTCAGGGCTTTTCATTGCTCCAGTGATGAAGCTCTTCTATATCAAAGCAGTGCAGCTCAACACAATGCTGCTCTCCTTTGTGGATGATGGGACCATTCTGGCTCAGTCCAAACAGCTTGATGATAACAATGTGGGCCTGCGTAAGGCCTACAAAATTATCTACCTCCTCTTTGTTGCCTTCACACTTGTTCTTGAACACAACAAGACCGAGCTGTTCCACTTCTCACATCGACATGACGCCTACAATCCCTTGCTGGATTTGGGGTATGCCCCACATACCAGTGCTATGCCTTTGAAGCCCAAGACCTATTGGAGGTACCTGGGTTTCTACTTTGACTGCAGGCTCACATTTCATGAGCACGTTCGCTACTATGCCACCAAGGCATTCACCACTGTGCAGGCTATGCGCATGCTTGGAAACTCCACTAGAGGTCTCTCGCCTAAACAGCGGCACCTCCTTTATAGATCGTGTGTGGTTCCCATTGCCACATACAGTTATCGTCTCTGGTACTTCAATGGTGCCTGTAATAAGGGTGCCATGAACCAGCTCAAATGGATGCAGCGGAAAGCTGCTCTATGGATTACGGGTGCCTTCCGCACCTCACCTACAGGTGGTCTTGAGGCCTTAGCAGGCCTCATCCCTGTCCACCTCATGCTGAAGAAGTTGGTGACATGTGCAGTGTATTGGGTCGCTACCCTCTCAGACACTCACCCTCTCTGCTCCATGATGGGCGAGGAGGTCTTTACACTCCCCCACGTATCTCTATAGGACTCCAGTGGACTCCAGTGGAGTCTGGTAGAAATCTATTAGCAGGAACACCAGCCAAAAGTGCCTACTGGACTCCAGTGGAGTACACTTGAGTCCACTGGAGTCACCACCCAAAGTCTACTGGAGTTCACTGGAGTCTACTGGAGTGGAGTGTCCATCTTCCACTGGACTCCTATAGGACTTCAGTGGAGTCCAGTGAACAATGTAGAGAGATGTCATAGTTATAGAAGAAAAATGTGACTGATGCCAAGATTGATGGCAGGTCATGTGACTTTTTATTTGCCTATTTCTTCAGGGTCAGCTTCTAAAACTTTGATGTTATGGCCTCAAATAGAAACAATTAATAAATATATGATTGCTAGGCCCAGACTTGGCATTAATAAAAAGTAATAAAGCCATCAAGTTTGTTGATGCCATCAATATGAGAGTCACATGTGATAAATTGGATTTTGAAGACAATATTGCTTGATCTATACAGGGACTGGGAATTGAAATATGCAGGTCACATGACTGTAAGAAATATTATTTTTTGAGAGAAAATCAGTGCAATAAAAGCCCTAGGCTCAGATGCTTCTGAATCCACTTGAGTAATAGTATTTGGCTCTATTAATAACAAGATATAAGCCAAATAATGCCAAAATTTACAAAGGTGACCTATTTTTTTTTTTGATATTTTGCATTTTTCTTGCCAAGCACAGCAGCTGATGACATCAAACAACTTGATTCAGAGTCAACCAAAGGTGCTCTACAAATCCTGATGTTTTTTCTGAAAAGAATGATTATTAAGCATCTTGTTACATACTCTATATGCTGGACTTGGGCAATTCCTCAACAGACTATTATCTATTCTGATGCATAATAGGTACTGAGTAGTAGTCCATTTTGATACATATACTGGAGTCCAATAGACTCCAGTAAGACTCCAGTAAGACTCCAGTATCACACTCCAGTAGAGTCCAGTATACTTTCTTACTGGACTCCACTGGACTCCACTGAACTCCACTATACCTTCTTACTGGACTCCACTGGAGTCCACTGAACTCCAGTATAATTCCACTGGACTCCACTGGACTCTACTGGATAATATGCCAACTCCACTGGAGTCCAGTGGAGTTCTATAGCACTCTGTAGGGCCACAAAGTACTGCCAAAGAGCCCAAATTCTTTCAACATCAAAGAAGAAGAACTGAATAAAGTTTTGGGCTTTTGAGAAGGTTGAAATGGAAACTGGAGGGTTTGAAGATGAGGACAATGAGTTATAAAACTATAAAAGGACATTGTAGTTGCAGTGGGACACTGTGTAGCCAAAGGGGTAAAACGAGATCCAAGAGTAAAAGATGTAAGAGATGGCCAAGCAGAGGAAAGAGATGTGAACACAGAATTGGATAACCTGGTCAAGTTCATTAAAGCATTAAAGCAAAATGTCTCCATAGAAGAAAATACGGCAAGACAATAAAGAAAGGAATCTTCAAGAAAATTATTAATTTCAAAATTGTTCCAGTCAAAACCAACTTCCATGTCCCAAGTAACATCAAAACTAATATTCTTCAATGGAGCCAGTGGCATATTTGTAGCCATGGAATCAAACAGGTTCTCAATGGATTCATTGTTGGAATTCAAATCCTCTTGTATGAAATAGATTGTTGATAGCTTTGGTGCAGAGAAGAAGGGAAAAAAGGCAAGCTGGCAGATATCCTGATAGGTATAATGCATTTCCTGCAAGGATTGAAAGGTGTGTATAATGCCAGTAAATTCATATTGAATGCCTGAATCTAAAATGTCTGTATCATTGTAGATAACATGAAGCACCTGAAGACTTGATATTGTTGATAAAGTCTTGCACAGATTGGAAGGATTGGTGGTGCAGTGCAAAGTGAGGTAGAGCTCATGAAGAGAGCTCCAACAAGCACATGAAGAAAACAAGAGATCAAAGTATATGAAGGCATAATTGAAGGGGTTGAATTCATAGTTGCTATCAATTTCAAGAAGGGCTAGGCGATGGTGGTTGAAGAGGAGGTTCCCAACATGAGCATAGAGGGCTGATGAGTTGCGATCTGAGTGAATTTTAACATTGATGAGTGATGGAACTACAAGAAGAGTGCAAAGGCTCTCAGTCTCAACAGTTACTCCAATTGTCAGAGAGGTGAGACGGCAGAAAGTTGATTTAGAAAGGTGTCCTTCAGCAAAGGCGATCTGGACAATCTGTGTGGCTCGTGGCAGATACTGAGGTGCACTAGAGCAGGAAGTGTCAAGCTTGACCTTTCGCATGTGCTGCACATATTGTTTGAAACGGTCCCAGTCATGAAGAGAAAGGGGTTGCTCAGAGAGCCTTAACTAAATGAACCATTGGTCAAGATATGATGCTATAACAAATAACTGTGGCAATCTTACCTCTCGTATTTCACCTCTACACCCACAATCTGATGAGCATTGAGATGGGGGAGAGCTGTAGTCATCATCCCAGGAGGCAATATGGAGCAAGGCAAAGAGAGGGGAGAGATGGATCTGGAAGCGATGCCACAACTTGGCAAGAGCTGGTTGACAGAATATGGAAGAGACCAGTGCAATATTCAATAAATATGAAGGCTGATAAACATTGACAGAATTGACAATGTGAGCTACAAGCTCAGGAATGGATAGAGCAGAATGTGCCATTGGAAGAGAGGCGGGCATAGATAATGAAATTCTGGGTATGGTGAGTCTGTGCTAATGATGCTAGATTGGTTTGGTACCACATCCAACACCACAAAAGCAGGCCAGAAAATGTAGGATCTGATGGTCTGAGACAGAGATGGATGGTAGATGGAAGTAAGAGGCAAAAGACAACTTAAAATGCCATCAACCAGCAAGTGTTTGTTTTGAGATTCCACAACAAACAGAGAATCTCATAAACCGTAATGGCAATAGTGGAATTCTGTTGGAATATAAGACATTTTTTTATGATTGAGGTATGATAATATACAGACAAAAATATAACTACTGATTAAAAGAGGCAGGTGAGACATGAACTCTTGGGGAGAGGAGGAGGAGGAGAAAGGCATTCAAAGGCAATGGGCAGGTGGGTGTCAGCATCCAGGGCCATTGTTGGATGTGATTGGTGGTTGTGGATGGATAAGAGGGATGGGGGCTGGTAGTTGGAGGGGCGAGAAGCATCATTGGTGGTGGCGGAAGTCGAGAGGGAGGGCAGGAGGATGAGAAGAGGCAGGGGGGAGGGGGCAGAGAACAACTGCAAATGAGATCAAACTTGGATGTTTGGCATCATTTGTCATCCTGGGTGGCCGTTTGGACAGGTGAGGGGTGTCAGAAGGGGGAGAGGAGGTGGTGGTGGTGATGGAGGGCGAGATGTGGGCGGTTGAGGGTGCAAATGCTGAACATATGTGTTTGGCATCCTTCGTTGTTGTCGGGGCTCTGTGGAGGCCTTTTGGATAGGCAAGAGGAGGGGGGGTTGTGGGCAGAAGTCAAGAGGGAGGGGGGAAGGGCGAGAAGGGGCAGGTGGGGCACAGAACAACTGTGAATGCCAGGCTCGTTCGTGCACTGGGGGCATCATTGGACGGCCCCTGGGGTGTTGGATGGGCAAGAAGGGGCGGTGGAGGGCAAGGAGGGCGAGCATGTGGTGGTGGGATGAACCAGGCAGGCAGCAGGGCGAGAATGAACGCGAACAACCCCGAAAGGTGCTGTTCAGGGTCATTCATGCACCAGGGGTGTTGTTGGATGGCCCCTGGGGGTGTTGGATGGTGAGAAGGGGCAGTGGAGGGCAAGGGGGTGGTGGTGGGGTGAACTAGGCGGGCGGCGGGGTGAGAACAAACGCGAACGAGCCCGAACGCTGAAGTTCGGACTCGTTTGTGCACCAGGGGCGTTGTTGGACAGCCCCTGGGGGTGTCGGATGGCAAGACGCAGCAGCAGAGGGTGAGGAGGGCGAGGGGGTGATGGTGGGGTGAACCAGGTGGGTGGCAGGGTGAGAACAAGCCCGAACAACCCCGAGTGTTGCAGTTTGGGGCCATTTGTGCACCAATGGGATGGCACCTGGGGGTGTGGGACCTATGACGCATGAAAACTCTCTGACAGTTTTTGTACATCATTTGTTTGCCTCTCTACAAACACTTGCGAAATTCGCTGGGCCCCTTCCTCTTTCACAACTGCCTTCATCTGGACTCCTCCAGATGGTGTCAGAGGGGTGAGAGGAGGGGGTGGTGGTGGCAGAAGGCAAGAGGCAGGCGGTGCTAGATGGGCAGGCAGGCAGGACACAGAACGAGTGCAAACAATGCTGAACCTCCATGTTTGGCATCATTTGGCGTTCTTGAAGGCTGTTGGTAGGGGCGAGAGGCAGAGGGTGAGGAGGGCAAGCAGGTGGTTGTGGGGTGAGAGGGGCAGGTGGCAGTGGCTGAACAATTACTACAGTAGCCAGTAAAAATGTAGTGAAATATTGAAAATGTAGCTATGCCATCAATGTAATACTTACTGTGGGAAAAAAAGCATGGATGACCATAACATGGGAAAGTAAAATGATCTCTGTGTCCCAGGTTGAAAGAATGAGTCTTACTTATGTAAGAACTCGTAACAGCATAATTAGAGCATACCGCATCATTTCATAAGGTTATCAGGTCCAAGAGGCACATATAATTTATTTTCCCAACTGTACATAGAGTGGAGAGCTTCATCGGATGTGTCTTGAATATAAACCAGAATTCTCTTGACATACTGCCAGTGTAGGATGAGCGGATGATCTGGTACTTCATAAATATAAGGAAAATTGGCATGGCAGGAAGGTGAGGATATAAGTGTGCCATTAGGGACAAAAAATCTGGGGTCTGAGGATCCCTGAAGATAGAGGGCCCAACAAAGGGATAGACCACCAAAGAAGAGGCTGGAGAAGCCATTGTACTAGATATAACAGGGTTTGATAAGTAGTGGCTGTTTAGTAATGCTAAGCTGGTGGCCGAGTTGGTTCCGTGCCCCCAGCTAGCGCTACAATATTGGAGGAACCCACAACAGGTGAAGGCACCAGGAAAATCCGTGGAGGAGTCCAGATGATGGCGGTTGTGAAAGAAGAAGAGGCCTGGTAAATGTTACAAGTATTTGTAAAGAGCCAAACACATGACGCACATGTCGACTTGGGACCACCAGCCTGTGTGCTCCAACCCCCTGTGCAGACTTCACCGTCAGCAGGCTCCTCCTGCCATCTAGCACCCCCAGGGGCCATCCAACAACGCTGGTGTTGCACCAACCGCCACCTCCTTGCCCTCCTTGCCCTCTGCCGCCGCCTCTTGCCATCTGACACCCCCAGGGGCCATCCAACGACACCCCTGGTGTGCGAACAACCCTGAACATCACAGTTCAGGGTTGTTTGTGCTTGTTTTTTCACTGCTGCCTGCCTGGTTCACCCCACCACCACCCCCTGCCTCTCGCCATCCAACACCCCCAGGGGCTGTCCAGCGATGCCCCTGGTGCACAAACAACCCTGAACTGTGACATTTGGGGCCATTTGTGCTTGCTTTGCCTCTGTGACCTCCCCCCTCTCCTTGTATCTCATCTCTACCATAAGTTAATTGTATCCAGCTTTTTTTTTGTTAAATATGAACATTATGTATTTATTCATTCATCTGACATAAGTATCAGCAAAGGCCTTCAACCCTCAGAGCCACTTAGGACTTTGCACTGTCCTTTGTTTGCTTTAGAGGTGCAACAAATACAAGTACACATTTGTCTACATCGCCAGCAAATTGCTTTCTTTTCTTTTTTTTTTCTTTGATCAACAATTTATATAGTGGTGCTCAATGGCAGCCTGCTTGCTATCTACAGAACATGTACGCTACATGACCCGGTTACTAAGTGAACTACTTAAAGATGTTCACCCCCCCAACCAAGACCCTTCTGGTGTATATGTTGAAACTTCCCAGAGGGCAACCCACCTCACGAAAGCAGTGCATCAGGATAAGGGGAGGAGGCCATCAAGGTCTCGCTACACCCCATAGTCATCAAACGCCATTCAGGAGCCATGCAGCGCAAATGAAAATAAGAACAGCACCACCCGGGAGGTGGCAGGGTGTCTTGAGGCCGACAAGCCAGAGAAGCGCCTGCCCGAAACCAGACACAGAATGTTAGCGGTGCTGCAGTCAACCAATATAGGTCAACCACCTGCACAAACAAGTCGTCGTGGGTGCAGGTCTCCGAACCCTAAGGTTCGAGGGTGTCAATTCACCGATAAATCCTCCAAAAGGAAGAATAACCCCGCCTGTAGCGATTATCTGACACCCGAGGAGTCCCAGTTGAAGCCAAACACCGTAGGGTTGTACTTCATATAAGATGCAATATCCCTGAGAAAGCGGGGGTAGTGCATAGAATATCGATCACAGCAGCAAAAGAGAATGTGCTGATGAGACTGCAAAGCAGCACCGCAAGTGCAGCTGTGAGGCTCATTGATCTTGAAGTGACAGTAATACACTCCAATGGGTGTGTGGCCAGTTATGCACCAGCAAACGCAAGCGAACTCAGTGATACTGTGTCCGAAGTATGAAAGCCAAGGTCCCCCATTGAGGTACAATGGCTGGACCGGCCGCCCGTCAGGCCGTTGAAGCTCTAGGAATTCAGAGCCTCAGTAGGTTGGATCCTGGAAAGTGGAACTCCACGAGTCCAGGACTGAGTGTGTAGCTTGGGAGTGGAGCGCGTCTATAGAATTGTCCATCTTGCGATGCCCAACCCTGACTTTGAGTTCAGTGATGTATTTGTGTGCCTCACCATGGATGTCCCACTGCAGAGCAGATGGGACATAAACAAAGGTGATGCGTGGAGATCATCCACTTTGAACCACTCTTGGAGAGCGCGACAGACTGACAGACTAAAAGCCTGACCAGAACGTACAGAAGGGTCGACCGCTCTATGGGCTGAGCCCATAGAGTCAGTAAAGACCATGATATGTTGGCAGTTTGCCTGCTTGACAGCCAGGCGCACTGCACATGAGATGGCATTGAGTTCCGCATCTGGGGCAGTAACTCTGCCAGAGACACAGCAAGTCCTTTCAAGCTCGTGATGCCCCTTGTAGATGATGGCTGCCAAAGCTGCCTGATACTGGTTGGACCAAAGAACAGAGCCATCGGTCGCAGCCAGTACTGTTAGGGGATTGGCTCTTGCAGTAGTGATGAGCCTGTCAAGATATGGGCGCCTATTCTGTGTCGGATCACGCTTGTCAAAGCGGAGAGGGTCTGCATAGCAGTCCAGTAACTGATCGCTGGGGTGAGCTTCAGGCGCAAAGGGCTCAAAGCTCTCAGCAAATTGCTTTCTTCTGATCTCTTCCTCATCTTCTTACCATCTAGCTCCTTTCTTCATTCCTTCAGGGCATATTTGATAAGTGGATACAGTACCGAACTGATTCACTCTTCTCTGAGCCCAATCTATCTTCTTTCTATTCATCAGCAAGCTCCTTTCAAGCTTTGAATATGGTACTGAACCAATTCAAGCCCCCAGACATTTGGACCTTTAACATGCCAATTCCCATTGCATCAGTCTATGCCCTTGAGATATCTGATAGCCCACTGCTAAACCAGGTTGTAGCCAGGGAAGGGTCCTTGTATTAAATGGGCACATTGTTTATTCTCCTAACAGCACCTTGGATGTTGCTCTCCCTGCTCCAGATCCTGACAAAGGAAGGTTCAACAATGTCTTCAAGCAAAAACATGACAATCCTTTCTGGTACTTGCAACCCAGGTGGTGGAACTTAAGATGGGGATGGATGGCATTCATTCCTCAGCACCCAGTTTTTACTGGAGACTTGTTTGGTGTCTTGTCCCACCTGCCTTATCCTGTGTTAATGCAAGAAGGCTATACTATTCCACCATCTTATGGTGAGCACTGGGCTGCTCTGGAACATTACCTGTCCACAGTAGCCAGTTCTCTATGACAACAGTATGGGCTCCCATCAATACAGCCTCCATGCATATGGACTCAGTATTACAATTGCCACTTCAAATCATTTTATGCCTCACAAAAGGCCATATCCACCTCAAGAGACTGGTTTAGAGTTTGGATAGGCTTTGTGTCCTATCTTGTTGTAATGGTGCAGTGGAAGGAAGTCTCAAAATCATCTTCATCTATTCCTTCTCTAGTTATCAACAACTGGTACCACCACCTCGTCAAAAAAGGTTTTTCAGAAGCTTGGCTACAGTCTCTGTATCAATCAATTGTTTGCACCTTCGAGCATATCATACCTCAAGCTGGTGTATTCATCTATCTTTCTTGAGAAGAATCAGTACTTTGTGGTCCCCCACAGAGTGCTATAGGACTCCACTGGACTCCAGTAAGAAGTATAGTGGAGTTCAATGGAGTCCAGTGGAGTCCAGTAAGAAAGTATACTGGACTCTACTGGAGTGTGATACTGGAGTCTTACTGGAGTCTTACTGGACTCCACTGGACTCCAGTATATGTATCAAAATGGACTACTACCCAGTACCTATTACACATCAGAATAGATAATAGTCTGTTGGGCAATTGCCCAAGTCCAGCATATAGAGGATGTAACAAGATACTTAATAACCACTCTTTTTAGGAAAAAGCATCAAAATTTGTAGAGCACCTTTGGTTGACCCTGAATCAAGTTATTTGATGTCATCAGCTGCTCTGCTTGGCAAGAAAAATGCAAAATACTGAAAAAGTAGATTATCTTTGCAAATTTTGGCATTATTTGGCTTATATCTTATCATTGATAGAGGCAAATATAATCACTCAAGTGGATTCAGGGTCACCTGTTATAGCAATTATCTTCTTCTAGAAAGGAAATTTCTCACAGTCATGTGACCTGCATATTTCATATTCTTAACACCTCTATTCCCTGTGTAGATAGGGCACATGTTGGCCAAAATCCAATTTGTCCCATGTGACTCTCATATTGATGGCATTGCTTTTTATTGATGCCAAGTCTGGGCCTAGCAATCATATATTTATTAATTGTTTCTATTTGAGGCCATAACATCAAAGTTTCAGAAGCTGACTCTGAAGGAATAGGCAAATAAAAAGTCACATGACTGGCCATCAACCTTGGCATCAGTCACATTTCTCTTCTATGACTATGGCATCTCTCTACATTGTTCACTGGACTCCACTGAAGTCCTATAGGAGTCCAGTGGAAGATGGACACTCCATTCTAGTAGACTCCAGTGAACTCCAGTAGACTTTGGGTGGTGACTCCAGTAGGCACTTTTGGCTGGTGTTCCTGCTAATAGATTTCTACAGGACTCCACTGGAGTCTATTGGAGTCCTATAGGGATATGTGGGGGAGTGTAAAGACCTCCCTGCCACCACGGCCGTACTCTGTCGTGTTGTTGCCACACTCCTGCTGTGCTCGTGTTGTCACCATGCTCGTGTTCATGTTGGGCATTCGCACCATTTTGCCCTTGCGTCCACTTCAATGCTGTTCTGCTCGATGTGCATGGGCCACTGTCCTCCCCTTCACCCCCCCTCCTGCTCACC